GCGTTTTAATGCAAATGTTACAGCAAGCGTTTTGAAAATTTGCCGGCTATTTGCATAGCAAAACGTATACGTTTACGTACATACACATGTGTGACATTTGGTGTCCAAGCATTCATTTAATTTAATTACAGAAATGTACAGTAGTCGATTACAAGAAACATGATCATTAGTCATTCGTCAGAGACCTTGTGGCAAATAATTGTACTGGTAAACGAGCATGCTCTATCGGAAAAATTCATCGACATAGCATTCGTGCAAGAGTTGTTTTTAAGAGAGTAATGGACATTGACAATATTCGCTATATGTTTAGGCTTTGGAATTTGGATCCTCCATATTTTGATGACCTCTCCAACAAAGTCGAATCATACTTACCCAATAAATATAAACAAAAAACGAAAAATTTGCTTACTTCCACATTTCTACCTTACGAATTGGTTTCCTGTGAACGAGTGAATTGCCCTACAGGGCATATGCTCAACATGCATATATATGTGCTTAATAGCATAATAATTTGTAAAACGAAAGGTAAATCGAATAAATATCGATATAATTACAACAGCGATCGCATGTAATGTAACTACAGCAGCCGATAGCCAGCGACCGAAACCGGACGACAGTCGTCAGCTGTCAAGCGTGCGTTGCACAAATTGGAATCGACTTTAAGGTGTCACATGGCGCCAAATAATTACGGCGAGAGTGCACAGATTGCCACCGCGATACCCAAATGCAAACAGATATAAATACCCCACTCGCACACGCATACATACACACAAGTATGTACATATTTGTATAAACAAATGGATGTGGAGATTAAAGCGACTTAATGACGATTTCTACAACTTCACTTTGGCCCGCAGCGAGTTAATCAGTTGCAGTTGTGCAGCACCGAAGACGGCAAAAACAACAACGGTAACAGGGTTTTATCCAAAGTAATTTAATTAAAACGACTCGCAGAGGCGAACACGGCTTGAGATCGGATTCTTTGATCGCAGAAACCACATTACCAAGCACACGAAGTGGGTCCGTGGCACTTGCCAAGCAGTTGGAACCTGCGACTGGCAATAGCGAGCCGCAGCGTGTGTGCGTGTGGTGTCAAGCGATGTGGACGCCGATAAATCAGCATCAAAATGTCACAAACAAACGAAGAATTTCGTATGAGCGCGCGTCCCACTGGCAGCCAATGCGCCACTCAAATCGGTTCGTTCGACGAGCATTTGGTCTGACAGCATCTCCTGGCACAGCACCATGTCTACTGCTGTGGTTCGGAGAGTTCGTGCGTTAACAATTTGATTTATTACAAATTATTCGCCGATATCAATTTTTCAGAAGCAATAATACACCGCGCATGCCAAATAGGTACGCGTGGTATTTGTTTTCGGATGTGTCGGCCGAGTGCAACGCCTTGCGCCACTGCGTGCAACATTCATTCACAAGCGCGTTTTTGCGATAACAGCAATGAAAATGCCTCAAAAAGCAATTTAATTTGCAATGCGTGACGAATCAATTCGACTCGATTAGCAATCGTGCATTAGATTGAACAGAGCAGGGGAAAATACGGCAAGAGTAAAGTTCACAAAGCAAAAATATCAGAATATATTAGTCCATTTTTGCTAGAACAATATTGCAAGTTGTTCAGTTCAATTTGTGCCGAGCGAAAATATAAAGTCGATTGCAAATGCCTCTTGGTATTAATGCCCCGGTCAAGGTATTTTAGTCGGTGAAGAAGTTTATTTAAAATTCTAACGGTCATATCTCTTCCGGAAAACACTGAAAAGTTATCGCTTCAACCAACCATTATTACCCATATCATCTATAAACACAGTCGACGCAAACTGCGCCTTCTGGGACTCAGATTTACAAAAAACAAAAAAAAGTGTATGTTATAAAGCTTCTCAAGCGATTATATGGTATAATTATCTTCGACATTACCCTCGAGGTACTTACAGTGCCAATACACAGTAATTGATTTACATATTTAATTATTAGCCGTTAGTCTATAAATTTACTTCAATTTATCAAAATCGTAACGAAATTGTAGCATGAATAGTATACGACAAGTTTTGCGTAGGAAAGGTTAAAAAGGCATTGCAGTAGTCGGTTTATAATAAAACGAGAGATAAACTCTATACCCTTGTATGTACGTGACACATTTTATAATATATCTAGGGTAAAACCTTAAACAAAAATAATAGAAAATGTTCGTCATTTACGCAAACGTTTTCTTTATTAGCGTGGAAGTTATGAAACTTAATTGCTCAAAGCAGCAACGCACTTTCAAGCATTTATAACGAAATGGCCACATCAACTAATAAACCGCCCTCAATTTCTATAATTTCGGAAATGCACTTCTACCGATGCAAGGCGCAGATGCTTTGAACGCATTACTTCGTTTGCGCTCGTTTCCCGACCCCTTGAGCAAGCAACGTCCAGCCGGTAGCATTTGCACAAGCTGTAACGTGGTTTGCGTTTCACCTCGATGTAAAAGCGATATCGGCGAGTTCTAATCGAATTTTATTTGCATTGCGCGAGGTCAGTGTAGTTTGCAATCTATGGAAATTCAGTAAAATGTATGCCTGTCGAAAGTGTGTCAAATTTCGAGCAAATGACAGCTGCCACGCGTACGGTATCCCTTCTACCTTTTATGATCTTGATTTCGCAGTAATGTTTTTGCCCTACATATCACATTGCGTAGGCGAATGGGGTGCGTGGGAGAACTACCCGTGTTAGCATTTAATATTCAAAATTTTCACCACCGATAGCATTGATTCGGGTATTCTGTATATGACCTTTTTGACAGCAGATTACAACAATAAAGTGCACATTTTGAGGTTTACTCTCACATATCTCATTTATACTGGGAACCCAGTTGTTAGTTTTTATATGCACACAATACACTGTTGTTTAACATCGTTAATTTTATTTTATTTATATATGTTAAGGTGTATGTATGTATACAAAATTATTATTTTTTAAATTATTTAATTGTTTCGTATTTTGAGAGAATAACAGTTTTGTAAATTTGCAAAAATGATGTCACTAAAACATTTTACTTTAATTTTTCTCCAATTACGAGCAAAAAGTTTAAACCGATTTTTTTTTTGTATATAGTATAAGATCAACACAAGATTCTATTTTAATCCAATATCTTCCTAAGACCTTAAAGGTTTGGTTTTATTTGCCATTGGATATCTCTTGGTTTCTTTGGTATCAGAATTAACCTTTTTTCCAGGTAGCCACATTTTTTAAGAAAAAAATAATAATAATAATAAAAAATGTTTTTTCAACTTATTTGATATTAATTTAAGTTACACTTTTTGAGCGTGGTGAGCGATAAGAAAACAAATTGTTTTCTTTTATTGAATAAATGAGAAGTTAATATTGTTCAAATTATGTTTATTATCTATACAATACATGTAGGTTATTCAGGAGTTTTTATCATTGAAACTATAGGCTTATGGTAACTGAGATAAGAAACAAGTTTTTAAATATCTGGAAAATACCGCGTCAATGGTGTTCTATATTTAGTTGTGGATTCTTGCTGATCATTTTTCATTTTCAAATTCATTTTTTCCGAAAGAATAGTTGTCAATCGCTCTGATTTTATCAGCGAAGCTGATGTTGAAATCGCCAGCAAAGATAAGTGTAAATGTATTACCATTGATAATCCGATTGAAATACATAATTTCAATTGTATTGTTCAAACGAGATACTGTTCCAAAAGGTAATTAAAATATTGAATCATTTTTTTTTTATTAATTAAATGCCATATTTATATTTGCCAATAAAAAATTTGTATCTTAAATATTATTATTTTTGAATCACCCTGCTGTCTCTTCAATTGATTGGTTCCGCTTGCGATATGCGAAAATACGCCTAAAAGTATGCAAACATTTGTGATCGCGTTAGGTTTATTTCTGTTACGGAATTTTTTGGTTCGCTCAAAGCCCGCGATAAAAGCTATGCAATAGCTGAAAACGAACGACCTATTTGCTTCTCGAAAAAATACGCGTTAGAAGTCAATAACCCATTTGAGCTTGGATAAGGTTGTAAACGTAAAAATTTTTTAGAATATAAACTTATTTGCGTTATTTTCAAAAAATTATCCATTCCATGTGGTATTATAAAATTTTCCCAGCCAATGGTAAAAATACGCACAATTTTCATGCAGCTAGTGCAAAATGCATAAAATGCTGCAGAAATGCTGCATTGAGTTAGTGACAAAATTCCACGGTGACATAAAAAACTATATAACGAACTTTTAAGTGCAAGTGGCACGCACTCACACAACGGCACATGTGTGACCGCTGCTTATTCGGTAAAACCGCTAAAATGCTGCAGCAACATAGCATCGCCAACTCGGTCGCCGTCATGTCACACGAGTGGCATGCAACAAAATTGCAAGGAACGTCGGCAATAAACATACCACACAGCGCGTAGAGATGCGCCGCAGCTTGCCACATTCCACATGCCACAACGCGCCGCCAGCAACGCCAATAAAGGCAACGCGGCTGAGAGTTCGGCGACTGCTAACCAACAATAAGAAAAAAACTTGCCAATTCCGCCAATTTGAAGCAAAACAAGTGTTTGCTCGGTTAATGAAGAAATTGGTTGTTGTCATTACGACGCCATTTGTGGCAAGCAACGGCAGTAAAAACTAAGAAGAAATTTCGCAGATCTTCACAGAATGAAAAAAAAAAAACAATTATATTATTTTGTAGTTATTTAGCACAAATTTTTAGAAAAATTAGCTAATAAAATACTCAATATTACTAATTTAAGAGAGAATAATCATTCTTAAAAGCTAACACCACTTCCTCGGGTTGCACACTCAACTTCCTCACAGGAAATGAATCAATCGACATGAAAATCGACATGCGATTTGACGGTAGGAAGTTTCGAACTGTTTCTATGAAATAGATAGTCACGCCACCTGCCACAAAAGCCGCGTCAAATTAACCGCATATTGTTGTTGTAGCTGTGGCACAATACACGCGAATTGCTAATATACTGTCATTCATCGAATCGAATTGTCATTCTTAATGATAATGAACACATGACAGATACGTATGTACAGATATATTCGTAGTTTTGGACATATTTATAGGATCACCAATTTTATATTTACTCTATTTTCACATTTACCAGGTCCATTCCATAACTTTTTCCATAAGTATGCAATTGAAGCAGGAGTGTAAGAGAAGAATAGAGTGTAAAAATGACAAAGAAGTACAAATTATCAATAAAAAATTCATACTACATATTTCCTAGTAAAATTTTCATTTACATACCTTCTTTCTCGCTTGGCTAAATCGACTGTATTACAGTGGCCGCAGCTGTATGCCGATTGGTGACTTCATGTGTAGAACAGCACATGTTGTACATTCAATCAATTGCTAATAAAAAATTGAAGTACACGAACGAAGCCAACCGACAGACGGCAAATAGACAAATAGCCAAGTGTGCCGCATTCGCATTCGCATTCGAATTATTTGTTTGCGATTTTCTATTGCTTTGGCTGTCATATTCTTTATGATTTCCATTGACATGCGATGCCGACAATTGCAGATATTTATACATGTAAAACAACAACAACAATGACAAATCACACATTTATTAACGGCTTCGGCAATGGACAAACAGAAATTAACAGTTGTCAAAGCACAATCAAGTGTTGCCAACTTGAATGGAATTTATTGCAACTGAATGAATGAAGAGAGTTCAAACTAAAAAAAAAACACATTTCGAATATACATCAATATGTATAAGGAGCTAGAGTCTACGTGATATTTGTTTGCTAGTCAGAAAGCAGCCCGGGAACTTTTGAGAAACACAAAATCATACTTTATAGAAATGCAACGTGCGCCAAAGCGGAGCTCAACTGAAGGAGAGAGGAAAGACAACTGATTATTCCGATGTGTTAAATTTAATGGCACCAAAGACGTTGGACCGATGGGAGAAACCAATTTTATTTTAAGCAGAAAAAGAAGCGACCATCCGAAATGTGGTTTATGAACCCTCTAGCAGCTCACCGATTGATAGAAATGGATTACGATCGCTTCAGTGATTGCCTGTAACTTTGCATAGAGCTTTCAGTGAGAATTAAATTTGCATAATTATATGAAAGCCACCGAATTCATCTTAATTAACTGGGTAAATTTTTTCGAATTTTTGGAATAATCAATCCGTGTGCTTAGCTAATTTTTTTGAAAAATGAAAATGACAAAATAAGCTATTGCTTCGCAAATGTTTCGGATATTAGTGCTTTATATCATCTGTACAATAACAGATGGAAAATATTTTTTGAAGAAGCCATACGCTTTTTATTTTACTAGTTTAACCTTAGTTTTTAAAACTAATTTTCACATAGCAAATTCACGAACAGCTATAAGCAGAAATATTGAGTTCAGAATTATAAAAAATCTTTCACTTTACAAGTCAACCGCAAAAAATTCTACATTTAAAAGTTAGCAGACAGGAAAATGTTCATTTAGCCATTCCCTGCATGCGTTCCTGCATTTCATAGCCACTGTTTGTGTGGCAGTTCGACGGAACTGTCCGAGCAATAGACGAGCAGGAAAACGACACCTACACAGGAAAGAAAACTGTTGAAAATTTTGTATTTACTCGACTGGTCAGAGAAAAGCCAAGCGTGCGGCGCCAGAGTATACTGAGGGGAGAGTCGAGCGAAATGTAGCGTAGAATATAAAGAAACTCAAAGCTGCTGCAGAAATATTTACGCACAAATTCAGTAAAAACAACAATAACAATACGCACACAAGTATGCACATGGATGTTTAAAACAAGAGAGCCAAACTAGCAGAAAATTGTAGAAAAGTGGAAAATCATTTGCAAGCAAAAAGGCAGCAAAGTGTCAGAATGTTTAGCAAGCGCCTGGGGCGAAGTGAAGATGAGATGCAGAGAGCCGGAACAGTCAAGCAGGTGTGTGGCCGGCGCATAAGATGCTTGAACACAGTTCTGGTTTACTTAAATTTTTATTAAAACACAAAAGTTTTGGCAGATGGACCCAACAGCAGCGGGTGGCGAAGGCGAAGAGCTCTGAAGTTGCGGCTAGTAAGGCAAAGGCATGCTAGAAATGTAAGAAAACCAAGACTAAGACTCGGTTTAAACACTTCAGCAGAGCAGACAAACAAAAACAAACACTTGTCCCTCGGAACAAGCCACTGGCCACTTCACAGTATGCTGTGCACGGTGCACACACATAAGGACGAGAAGGGTTCAGTTTGCCAACGCGTAGTGTGAAATTTATGTGTATTATGCTCTTCAAGGATGCAAGATTATGTGTGTGTGTGTGTTTGTGTGTGGAATTTTTGAAATGGGAAAAGTGGCAAATGTGTTTGAGCAACAATAAATTACAGCATGTCGGACCGCTGGTTACGCAATGTGGAAATAACTAAGTGTGCTCAGCGATCGAAGGCGGCAGCACATTTGTAGCAGATGCAGTTCAATGCACCGACAGTTGATTTTCTTAATAGGGAAAGGACTGAGTACTCAGCGTGCCAGCGAATGACTCTCGAACAAATGTGGCAGATGCTTGCTGGTAATTGAGGTAGAAGACGCAGCTTACACCTTGACTGGTAGCTGAGGTCAGGTAGCTCTGGAAGATAGATATTCGTATAACTTTTGGAATCGTTATGCCGAAACGGAAACATTAAACTATTTATAGCACGCTAAGAGATACAGCAGACAAATATAAATGACATCAGAAGCAAACGAGCAAGAAATTAGATTCTTTCAGTTTCACTTTTATTTATTTATATATTTTTTGTTGCTGAAAACAAGCAATTCATAATATCTCTGCATGATGTCATGTTTTCTTGTTTATTTCGTCACATTTTCGGCTGCCTTGCCACTGTTTTTATGACTGAATCATAAAGCGGGGAATGCCATTACAATTCAGTTTTGTTGGCATCGTTAAAAATATTCAAAAGTGGCGCACGCAGCCTCTATTGAGGGCCTCGCAGTCGGAATTAGGCACTCGCATTCCACTTTAGAGAATTTATTGCGTTCTGTCTCCCTTTTGTGTGTGAGGATGTTTGTGCATGTTTACTTTTGGTGGGTTAAATAATTGTGTTTATCTCTTCCAAGTGTCCTCGGTTGCGTTCCTCGCGAGCAGTTTGTTGCTATTAAATTGTTGTAGCTGTGAAATTTGTATGCTGCAGCTGATAGCAAAGTGCTGCTGCGATTAAAACTTTACAAAGCATATGACAATCTAATGAGTTAATTATTTTTGTAATTAAAATCATGTGAAGGGTCTTTCTATTTTCGGCAGACATTAAACATTTTCAGAATTTATGTTCATGGTAATAGCATTCAAAAATGCTTTAATAAATCGTGTAAAATATCAAAATGTTTAATAATAAGACTATTCATTTATTCCGCCATTTACAGGGTAACTCACAGAGCTGAATAGAACATAATTAAAATAATTTTTAGTGCATATACTTTGGATAATATATATGAGCTTTTATGAGAAAATTTATTTGTAGACTTAATGGTTCAACGTTATTTATGAAGACTTCACAGTTAAACATGCATTGTTCTTATTTTATTGATTTATTTATTTTGAAATGCTCTAAAATAAACGGTTAACAAGATTAGTTTATACTTCAAGATATTTAAGGTGACGCTAATTCGAGCTGGTACAATGATTGAGACACTTATAATGCATAATGCTGAAAACAGTCGCCGACGCAAAACCGTAGACCGAATCAGCTGATACGATCTATCTTATGAGAGCGCAATGTAAATGAGAACTCACCACCGCTTCAACAAACCGTACGGTATAAAATCGCGAAGATTGGATTTTTATCGTAGAAACGAGTCAGCTGATTGCTCTTTTGTAAGGCAGGGTTGCCAGTCTTGATATTTTGTAGTAATTAAAAAATATATTTGAACATTTTTGAAATATTCTTAAACTAACACAAAATCACAGTCGAATACGTTTATTTATAAATATGTTGCCTATTTTTATTAGTTGGATTTTAGTTTTGAGCTTATACATTGTGAAAAATTATAACTAAAATATTAAATGTGTGCAAAATCACAAATACAAATTGAGCAATGGCAACATTGTTGGAATTAAAACAAAAGAGATCAACGGCTTTTTCCGGGCATAACTTTTGAAAAATTTGGTTTGATATGGGCGGTAAGTACGGCAGGGCGAAACGTGATTGACTGTTTCCAGCATTACCATCTAATCGGATTTCGATAAATATTTTTTGCGAGATTGGTACAACTTTTTTTTTATGTTCGTGTGCGGTTCGATGTCAATTAGTGTGTGTTGTGTGTTTAGCAGCTGTTTGTTTACGACGCAAAAAGTTTGTCTGGTGATTTATGCAAATACACGAGTTGCTTGAAATTTTGCATTTCCAACAGCAGAGGATCTCAACATCTCTAATGGATCGACTCTACACATTTTGGATACGAAACGTGTCAAAGGTAGATTCGTACCAAAAGACCTGAATCTTTTGATAAAAACGACGTCGAGTAGAAGTTGCACATTACAAGATTCGCTGAAGGCACTGAAGCCCATCGCAGCCGAGGCTTATTACAAGTGTAGGAAAATTGGACTAAGCGTTGGCTCAAGAGCCTATTTTGAAGACGATAATAAGGATTTGCATTAAAATACGTGAAAATGTATTTAGTCAGTCCGAAACAAATTTGAACAGATGGGAATATAATCAGCTGATACCAGTGTTTGAATTAAGTTTTTGAGTTTAAAAAAAAACTGTGGAAATGCGTAACAACTTAAACTATTTATAAATTTCCTAAAAAATTAGGTAAAGCTAGAAAAAACAGCTCCAAAAAATCTATTAAACAATATCACATAATTTTTCTGTGATCAAATTTTCTACAATACTCTATATATTTGCAAATTAAATTCTAAACTCGAATAACTTCAATCAAATACCAACAAATCCATTTAATAACTATATTTCTACAACGAGTGTCACACTTTCTTCAAGCTATTTGCACCCACGGTAAGAGCCAACGTAAAGATGCATGAAAACCGAATTTATAAAGTGCATAATTCAAAATTTGTTATTATTTTTATAGAACAACCATATATAAAATCAATTTCTTTACTATTTTAATTCAGCTATAAACCCCTATAAAGTCGGAAAGCTACTCACACACAGGTCGAAAACTTTTATAACATAAACAAATAGGATCATATTTTATGTTGATTTAGTCGCGTTCACTTCAGAATACCTCAACCCTTAGCAACGGCATGGAGGCACACTCCAATTGGCAATCAAGCATACAAAAAGTAAAAATAATTATCCAAAACAAAGGGAGAACATTAACGACACTCGAAGTGTTTTACCCGGGCACGGAGAAGTCCCTTCGTACTTCAGTACACTGGGCAAGAGAATTCAACCAATGTGCGTAATAATGTAGGTATGGTGATTTAATTTCACAAGCACATCGTAAAAGATGATTGCAGAAATTTTTGACAACTGAACACACATATTTTTGAAATATGTTGGCAATAGAAATGAATTTCCAAAATGGCTTTAAAGAATTTGAACTGTGCTAGAAGTGTTCTATTTGCACAGTCGTACTTAACGAGCGACTCTTCAAATACAAAGCACTTGGACCGAATGCAATTCGAAAGGGGGCCAATACACTTTAGCGCAATGGTTGCATATATTCGTCGGCACTCATAGAAGGCGGTCGAATTTCAAAAATCACACACATACAAGCGTAAATATTGCGCCTGTGGGTGTGTGACATATGCTGGTGTGAGCAAAATCCATTGCGCATTGTTCACGACATGACTGAGTGGCTGTGAGGAGGAGCTGAGAGCAGTGGCGAGATGTCAAGACAACACCGCAAAGCCAGCAGCGATTTATGATTTATCGAAAACAAATGCAGGAAGCACACGCACACAGACACTTTTCACACACGGATGGTGTGTTGGTGATGATGTGAAAGCGTCCCCAGGCCAAGAGTCACCTCTAATGAATGCACACATGACGATATGTACTTATGTGTGTCTGCGACGGCACTCACGTTCGTTCCAGCAATAGTCTGGATTTCAGGGTAAAACGCTTCTGAAATGCTGACGCCCAATGCAATTCGAAGTTTGAATTTAAATTTCTATTACTTTTGCTATGCAGCAGACGTTCGCCTGGACGCAAACACATACAATCGCATACATAAATAGCAAACACAGCTAGTCGTGCGCCGCCTCTCTCACCAAGTTCAGCATTTTATTCATGGCTATTTATTTATTGTTTATGCTCTAAATGGAATTTTTAATTAATTTTTATAGGAATTATTGCCGTCGTCGGTTTTATGATGCGTCGTGCCCAGACGTAACAGCGCAAAGGCCGTGCGATCGTCGGCGCTGCTTGGGCGTTGCAACGAAATGCGGGTGGTCAACGGCCAGTCTGCCAGCCAGCCAGCCATCAGTGTGAAATCGACAATTGAAATTCAGCGACTTCGAAAATTATGATCACTTAAGTGTATAAAATATATTCAGTTTCATTTGGCGTAGCGCCAATGCGTGGCGGAACGTGCCACGCGAACGGCAGCCACTGAAGGCACTTCAGCAATTCTCTGCACAAATAGACTAAAACGTTATTGTTATTTAGCTGAGTAATAGTTATGATATTATTGTATTATGCAGTGGCAATTGTAATTTCTAAAGCAGTTCAATGACTCTTAGATGAGTGTAGTGAATATTTTATACCCTGAACAGGGTATAATAGGTTTGCTAAGAAGTTTGTAACATCCAGAAGAAGACGTATTTCGATGAAAAATCAATAATAATTTCGCACGAAGTTTTCTTTTTAAGACTACTAATTTGCTTCAGGTTCAAATATTCTCGTTGAACTTATCCTGGAACTTTCAATTAGATTTTGGCAAATACCTTTCGCCCCATTGTATTTATAGCCCTAGATTTATAAAGCCAACTGTAAAGTAGTTGTAGAAGATTGAATATAATATGGTTTCCAGCACTCAAGTTTGTAGGTCTTATAGATTACATCTTTACTTTCATTAGATATATATAAATTATATAAAATCTCTTTCACCCATGAAAAATCAGGTTACCTGAGGATAAGTCAAACTCAATTACAAATCAATGTGTTATACTTATTTCCAGTTAAGCTATTCTGACCAAGTCCACAAAATACTGAAAAATTCAAAGATGAAAAGAGTTTAAAATCGAGTTTTTTCTTTAGTAACATTCCTGCAAACATCAAACAGTCGATCGTGGGGCGGGAATACCGTAAGGTTTATACATTTTTATTTTGCATTGATGGGAGCGAACTTTATCCATGAACTTCTTGCACAGTTTACGGAAGCGCTCATTGGAAATGGTGATTTGCTGAGATCGATTTCCCGGATCTATTATTATCGGTGAAATTATATTTTAGACATCAAAAAACCATCAAGAAGAAATATATATGCCAGAAGTAGTACAATAACTGCTAA